TATCAGACATGTAATATCATATGTATTGTAAATGTACAAATCGAGTCGAGAGCTTGTCCTTCAATTTCGATAAATCGTCACTCCCTACGTATAATTACATAAGTGTCACATACGGCATTTTCAGTTTATTGCATAGTGACACTTAGAAAGTCATATTCTTTATGGTCACCAAATATTAAAAAAAAAAATTCATAAGTAAGGTAAAAATTTAAAACCGAAAGATTCCTTAACTAGAGAAACTATATGAAGCTTTAAGCTTTTAAACTGCTCTCCTCTAAAATTTGCGTTTTGGAGTTACGGGATTATACGTAGGGAATGACGAAATAAGCTTATTACGCTGGAGACACGTGTGTTTCAGAACAGCGAAGCGGAATCGAAAGTTAGCGACGCTCCCTTGAGAGCTGAAAGAGTCAGTCGCTTTTGGCAAGCTTAACTGATCGGTCGAAAATAAATAGTAAGGTAAATGTCCCAATACTTAAACGTTTAAGAGAGCTGTTTAACATATACAAATCATACTCGTATAATTTAACTTTTGTTGGTGAGTATTAGTATTTATTTAAAAAACCAGACTATATTTTCACTAAATAAAGCTTTAAAGAACTGGTTTATAAAGAAAAACAAAGTAAATTAATCGAATTCTAACATACCTGCCATGGCCCAGTGCTTAAACAGGTTTTCTAACTTGTCCCAATACTTAAATTATCTTGTCCCAGTACTTAAACGCTATTATTAACACGACAATATAAAACAGAAAAAAATTATTCATGCATTTTATTTCATGAAAAGTTATAGATTTATTACAAATCACTAAAAACTTTGAAGATTTTACAAAACTAGATTTTACTTAGAGTTTCATAACCTTTTGATAAGGTTATGAAAACAAGTCATGTACTTTATCATATAATATTTAAATATTTTAGTTAAATATTTTAGTTTTAAATATTTTAGTTAAATTATATTATTATTTTAGCACGTTTAGATAAAATGAAACCATGAAAACACAAAACTACTTACTGATTTGTTGCAAATTATGTTTTGTCGCACAAATATCACTCAATACGTGTATGCAAGACTAACTACGCTATGATGAATCAAGTGTTTAACAACTCCGCCACCGGCGGATTCTCGTACCAGTACATAAACACAATAATTTAATTATTATAACTAAAAATTAAAGATAGAACAAAGTTTTTT